TTACAAACTATAGCTTCTGCGCTCAAATGATTCTTCTCCCAGAAAGAAGTGACAAAAAAAACTGGTAGTAACTCGAAAAAAAGTGTGAAAAAAGAGCCGCGAAAAACCGCACCTAGTGCGCTCCACCACTAGCCTTGTTGCAAAGCTTTTTATCCTATAAGGGTCATTTATTTTCTTGCTTTTTTCCAGCAGAAAGGTGAGAATAAAGAGCCGCGATAACTATAGCTTCCGCGCTCCATTGACAACTTTGCTCCCTGATAATGTTATTTGAGTGTGATACTTTGATTCACACCCATTTTTTTCATATAGAAATAAAAAAAAAGAAAAAAAAGGAATAAAAAAAAATAGCCGCGACAGGTCGAACCTTGTGCGCTCCATGGATAAAAAACTAAAAGTACATAAAAATGACTACTTTTTGGCTCTGGAGAGACTTCTGGCCTCTGAAATTGAAAAAAAAAATGAAGAGTTTTCCGACCAAACTGCCAAAAAGTCGGAAAAAAATTCCGAAATCAAGAAAATGAGTCTCGCCAATAAATCCGTCAGTGTTTATTACGAGGCTCATTTGTGGATGTGTGGAAAAACGAGCCACACGTGTGGACCTCATGTTCCGCAACACAAAAATTTGACCCCACTCCTCCGGGTGCTCATTAGTTGGAATGGCGAAAATCGCAACATTTTCTAGAGACTTCAGCGTGAAAAATGGGTTTTGAAATTGTCTGAGAAACAAAATGAAAGGTTTCCGTAGAGCTTCAAAGTGTGCAAAATACGTAAATTAGGCCGAAAAAGCGCTATTTTGGGTTTTTAAAGTGCCCTAACTCGAAAACGAGATCTGTTGCGAGAAATTTTTTTTTTTGATCTGCAATTATGGGTCCTAAAATACAATTCAGCGAAGTTTCAGCAAAAAGTTCAACGGGGGCTTAAAAAAATTTTTCCCTAGTAAGTTCATTTCGAGGATAAAAAAATATCTGTTTTTTTAGAAAGAAAGACCTGCGAAAAAGACCAGAAAGGAGCAAAATATGAGTTCAGAGAAGCTTCGGGAGCCTTCAAAATCAAAAAGTAAGGATAAACGACCTGCCAGAAGGCACAATCTGAATGATCAGTCCATAAAAGGTGTGAACAGATTCGGAAAATGGCAAAAGTTCAGTTGGAAGATACTTTGGAATTCTAAAATTCAATCAAAATTGGAAACACCTACCTGTTTCCGTGTTAACAGGACCATTGATGCTACCATAAACTTTCGAAGTCGAAATTTTTGACGAAAAACACCTGTGAGCCCATAAAAGGTGTGGAAAAGAGTTAAAGATTCTTATAAAGAAGCCTCGGAATCTTTCACCACCAAAAAGTTCGAATAAAGACATTTTGTCCGAAGGCAAAACTGCTGGGAAAATTTTTAGGGGGCACTTTAGGGTTTTGACGTTTTAGTGGCCACTATTGTAGTCAAATTAGTGGCCACTTAAGGGGTTGAAAATTAGTGGTCACTATAGAGGTCTAAAAAATTTTAGTGGCCGCTTAAGGGGTCAATGGATAGAGATAACTGGTCCAATCTGTTTGTTATAAAATTATCAGAGTTACTGGAAGGAATACTGAATGAAAAACTACTGAAGTGGGCACTGAACCTATAGTGGCCACTAAAACGGAAAATAGTGGCCACTATAGAGGTGGGTTTAGTGGCCACTTTAGTGTCCTCTCCAAGTAGTCCTCGGCGAGCCTCTATAGTGGCCACTAAAATTTTCCCAGTGAATGATGAGTCCATAAAAGGTTTGAAAAAAGGCTGAAGGTCCTTATAAACAAGCTTCAGAAGCCTTCAAACCCAAAAAGTTCGGATAAAAGACCTGTTGACAGAAGACAAAAACTGAATGATGGGTCCCAAGCCATAAAAGGTGTGAACAGATACAAAAAAGGGCAAAGCGAAAAAAGGAAGAGCTCCTCCGGCGGCAGATCGCGTGTGGCTCTGAAGAATAGCGGAGCAACGCATGAAGATGATGGATGTCGCGGGGGGCAGACCTCCGCGGGTCAAATCTTCCCACGGAAAAAAACCGCCGCCGCGCTTCTTTCATCCACTTGTTGATGGATTTATGGACAAATGGTTTGAAAAAGGTCTCGAGAACCGTCTGCCTGTCGCGTTTACAGGTGGGGCATTCTAATGAGACTAGGACCGATAGATACACTTTTTCGTGCAGATTTTGAAGATGTTCTCAAAAATGACTTCGGAGATCTGTGAGAAGAGTTATGGTCATTTAAAAATGAGAAATTTCGCCACAGCTTTTTTTTGATGAATTTATGGAGAAATGGTTTGAAAGGGTCTCGAGAACCGTCTGTTTGTCGCGTTTACATTCAGTTTACAGGTGGGGCATTCAAAGGAGGCTTAGATTGTTGGACGGAATTTTTTGAGCTCAGTTTGAAGATAGTCTCAAAATCGACTTGTGAGGAGACCTGTGAGAACAGTGTTAGCCGCAGAAAAATGAAAAAAAAAAAATCGCGACCACCACAATTCACACGTGACTAGGATCGTCAGGTGGAGTTTTCAAGCTGATTCTGACGAAAATTACCTAGGAGATCTATGAAATTACGTGTGAGCACGGAAAATTGAAAAAAAGGGCTCTCAACAGTACAGACTCGCCCGATGATATTTTTTAGAAATGGGGGCAACTTTGAAAAAGAAAATCGAAGATTGAGAAAACTCTTCATTTTTTCATGATTCAGCAGAGAATCTTATGACTGAATAAACTTGTAAACTTATTGATTTGAGAGAAACTTTGTTTGAAAACAATAAAAGTTATAATCGGAAGTTTTAGATCAACTTCAGATTTCGACCAAAAATGAGCTCAAACGGAAAAAAATGGACTTTTTCTAGGTCAGCTTTAATTTTTTCTAGGCGTTTCGGCTATTTTTTTGAGCTCAGTTTTGTACTATACAAAAAAATACAGAAAAATTTTTTTAACTAAAAAGGAAAAAAACTTTTAAAAAAATCAGGATTATCTGAAAAAGGACTAGAGTGCTCCTTGAGATATTGAATAGTCCTTCTGAAAGTCTAAACTTGTGGAAATTCCTATTTTTCTGGAAAGTTCAGTTGGTTTCAAGTTTGAGACTACTGACTGAGAATTTGAAGCTTTAATACAAACTTCAGCATTCGAGGCAACTTTCCAAACTTATAAAAGTGTTGTAACCTTCTTTGTGAGGTCTGGCGTCATGGAAAAACGTAAAAATCCTTGGAAGGTTATAAAAAAAGAGATTTTGAATGTGATGGTAGCACAAAATACAAGGAAAAGCAAGAGAATAACCAGTAAAGAGGGAACAACCCGCCAGAATGCCGCCGAAAAATCAAAACACAGTTCTCGGATTGCAGCACCAGACGGACCCCGCCGTTATGGCGGTAAATCCAAATCGATCTCTGTTTATTCCAGTATTTATATGACCTGCCGCACCCAGATTTCAAAGCAACAAACCATGTTAAGGCTTTTGAAACTTCTAAAAAGGCTTGAAAAGGCCACAAAGTCGGTCTACGCTTCATAGGAACTTCAGAGAGGTCCCTATAGGGGCAATCTTGGGGATCCTTGAAAGTTCCCTCTAACCAGGAATATCTAGGCTCTTTTTTGAAAAAAAAAAATTGGTTTTTTGGGACCAGTATGACAGGATCTCTACACCCTCCAAAAATGAGACACATCGATTTTTTCAACTTTGTAAGCGCCTAACTTTTTTCACAGACTTCAAAGTCAAATTTTGGGCACAGATTCGGTATCAGCGTAAAAAACTAGATCTAGTGAGCCTAGTCTCATTCAGAAGTCTCACTGTGAGTTGGGGCAATGAATCTTTCAAAAGTGGCCACTCTAGAGAACATTGAAAAGCTCCTATAAGGACCACTTGAATTCTACCTTTATAGGGGTCACTGACGTCCCTAAGGCCCTTAAAACGTCAAGTAAGAACTGAACAGAAGTTGTTGGAAAAAATTCAAAAAAAAAAACCTTTCAAATTTCTTTTTGAAAAAACCCTCAATATGTATAAAATCTGAGCCGAAACAAAAATAGCTTCCAAAAAAAGGTCCACTCAATAGAAGCACGTCGAAAAGGTTGAAAGGCCGTCAGCCCAATAGCCCCCGTGTGCCCAAAATTATGGCAAGGTCAGAAGTCGACCCCCTACGGCGATAATGCGCTCCATCGCAACTTTCACAAATCTCAGTGAGCAATCTTACCCATTCGTGGGGTTTTACTAGGGAAATTTTTGAGGGGTCCAAAAAATTTGGAACTATCTTTAAAAAAGGTTTGAGAAGCTAGCAAGCAGGGGAAGCGCTTTTTCACTCCAGTGACCTCTGAAAAACTTCCTGAAGTGACCACTTGAAAAGTTAACGTTCGGAGAAGTCGAAAAGCAAAGAAAGAGTGTAAAAACATCCCTAAAGCGGCCACTTGGAGTAGAACAAAATCTTGATTTACTTTCTGAGGTGAAAACTACTAAGTCAGGGTCTCTAAAACGAGGGAAAAATCTTTTTTTCTCCAAAAGACCTTCTTAAGTGGCCACTTAAAACAACCTTGTCATTTCTTTTTTTTTCCAAAAGCACAGAAACCTTCAAAGGTGCTTTTTTCAATTGTCAACTTGGAAATCCCTTAAGTGGCCGCTTTAAGCCCTACAAATAAAATAACCTCAAAAAAACTATTAACTGTCACTAAAGAGGCCACTACCCGCACTACAAGTTGAAATTTCCACATCAACAGAGTTAGGAACGCCAGAGCGGTCCCTATAGGGTTGGAGGAAAAAAATTCCCTATAATGGTCCCTATATGGATAAAATTCAATTGGTCCCTATAGGGGTTTAGTATCTGATCCTTTAAAGCTCAAGTGGTCCCTAGAGTGTCTTTCAACTTTTTTTCAGATTTCAAATTAGAACGACAAAATTGATCAATCATAATGGGCTAGCGACCACTTTTGAGAGCTTGTGGTCCCTATATTGGGAGGTAAAGTGGTCCCTATAGGGGACATGCTAGTCGATTGGGATGTATTATTCTTCCCCTAGAGTAAACCTCCGGAGGCCCCTATAAAGACCACTCGCAAACTCCTAAGAGAACAAATCCCTATAGAGACCAGAAAAAGTGACACCTTGGCGTGACCGACGACAAGTTACGGCCTCCCGGAGAGGCAGCTCTGCGGCTCTCGGAGCAGCCGTCGTTTTCCGAGATCAAACGGACGCCGCTCGCCGACCACTTCCTGTGTCGCTCGTCTCCAACTTGTCGCCTATTGATGGGTTGGAGAAGGGGGACAAAAGGGAACTACAAGATTATTTATCAATGAGGCGTGACGTCACGCTAGTTATGACATCATCAAACTTTAAATTTGCCAATTTTTGACTTGACTTTTTTTAATGGTGTGACGTCAAGACAGTTATGACGTCATCAAACTTTAAACTTGTTGATTTTGACTTGATTATTTCAAAGGTTTTTATCATGAGTTATGACGTCACGCCAGTTATGACGTCATCAAAATTTGAATTTTCTGATTTTTACTTGATTTTTTTAAAAGTTTTTATCATAAGGTGTGACGTCACGGTAGGTATGACGTCATCAAAATTGAAATTTGATGACGTCATCCTTAAAAAATCATGTAACTTTTCAGAGAAGTTCAGTATCATGAAAAGCTGGGATGTCATTAAATTTTTCGATTTTAGCGATTTTTATTGAAAAAAAAAATTTTTTTTCAATATCACAAAGAGGTGGAAGTCAGTGAATATCCAATTATGACGTGACTAAATTTTTAGGATTTAAAAAAAAATCGAGGAGTGACGTCATGAAAAAAGCTGATTTTCACGAATTTTTTTCAGATAAAAATCGATATTACGGATTCAATTTCAAAACATATTTTTTTGATATTCAAAAAAACTAGTATTTCCTCCGGCATTAAACTTCGAAACCAGTGAAAAAAAGCAATGTTTTTCATTCGGAAAGTTGTGACGTCACGGAAGTTCTCGATATGACGTCATAACTTAATTTTTAAAAAAATTCAGTTTTTTTATGAGGGTAGGGTAATTGAGAATGAAAAAGGCGTCGCAAATTCGGATCAAAAATTAAAAAAAATAAAATAAAATCGATGTGAAAATTAGAAAGTGGTGACGTCATCAATAACTTAAATAAATTCGCGAGACTTTGACCCTGCTTATGGAATTCCATGGTGGTCCCTATAGGGGTTAGGGAAAAAACAGCCTCTATAGGGACCGAGAAAGTGGTCCCTATAGAGGTCTAGGGTCTCAACTAGCTGGTCTTCTATAGTGGCCACTAACTGGAACACCTATAGGGACCACTTTTGCAAGTTTTATGGCCACTATAGGAGCTGGTAAAGTGGGAGCTAGAGGGGACACTTCAAGGGCCCTAAGGTTGCCCCTATAGGGGCCACTCTGGAGTTCCTAAGCATTAGAATATTAAAATCGCCAAATTCTAAATCTGTACCAAAAAAAGAACGAAAAAAGCCAATTTTCAAAATTTTCGGAAAGAATCCAAATTTTTCTCAATGATCCTAGGGCTCTCATAGAAGCACCTTTTGCAAAATAATAAAAAAAAATCAATCATAATTAGCGTTTAGCGGCATTCAAAGAGCCAAATCGAGAGGAGCAAGTACGAAAAACAAGGAACAGCTACTACTACAAATGTTTGAAAAGACGGAACTAGTGTGGCCGAAAAGGGGCTCCTTGAGCCCCCAGGATTTGTTGATGGAAGGCTGCAGATCGTGTCGAGATGAAAACGCGATAATTCGAGAGTGGAGAGGAGAGCCAGTTTTGGTTTTGTGACTGACTGACGTTTGCCTCATCATTTCGAAGATTTTGCTCCTAAGGAAGGTCATTTTGTTTTGTGGCTGAGAAGTGAATATTCAGATGAAAATTATCCAAAAAAAGCCTCTTAGTCTTCAAAAAATAGGACTCGAGGCAATTTTACCGATTTTTTAAGTTTTTCTCGACTTATAGATGTCCATTTTACTTTTTAAATGAACCTCTCTACGGCGTACCACAAAAATATATCCCAACCGAAACTCCTAGTTTCCAAGAAAAGGGCTCAAAGTCCCAAAATAGGCCCTTTTTAACCGATTTTGATAGTTTTTTTCGACTTTTAGAAGTCCAATTTATCTTGTGGTTGGGAAATCCCTGAGAAATACATATTAAGATCCAGAAACTGTTCAAAATTTGACAGGAATCTCAAAAATTCACTCGTCTTGATATCTCCAGAACAGGTCCTTAAAATGACATCCTTAGAGTCCCTTGGAGCGTCCAATTTGGGGACCACTTTACCAACCTCTATATGGGCCACTAAAGCTTGCAAAAGTAGTCCCTACGGGGAAAATGTTAGTCGATGATTTTAATGAACTCTAAGCGAAGAAACATTTCCATGGGAAAAATTATGAAAAAAACCTTTTTTGAAGAAAATTGAACGGACCCTACAGGGACCGTCCTCGTAGGGGCTGTGTTCACCCCTAACCCCTATAGGGACCACTAGAGCTCCTTAGATTGCTCGAACCTCAAAAATTCGAAAACTTTGTAAATTCTCTCCAAATGAGATCTCTCAAAATCAATCAAAATTCAAGACTTTCCGACAAAAAAAAAAAATCAAAAAGCAACTTTTTTTGAAATTTTCCCGTCTTTTCGAAACATTGCTATTCCTCAAACACCCAGTGAAGCTCAAGAAGTCGAAACACCCGAAATTTCGTTGAATGAACCGCCGCCATGGATTTGCCCGAAATGACAAATGTGCACGGCGCGCGGTATTAGCATTCGGCGTGCCGTATTTTGAAACACCCCGGCGGCTGAGAAGAAGAAGAAGAAGGCGAAACAATTAAAAATTCGAGAGAGGCGGCCCAAAAGGGCCGTTCTGGCAACATGCAAATCGTGTTGAAATTGGTGATTTATATGGATTGAATTTGGATCTGGTGGGCTAAATGAAGGAGTGGATCTGTTGGATCAGCTATGCTGAGATCTGACTTTGAGAAAAAAAAAGTTCAAGAAAGCTCAAAATTTGACCCAGGCTTCTGAAACCTGTAGTAATCTTATGGAACTGAAAAAAAATCCAAAAAAATCAAAATTCACAGCTCCCGTGTTGAAAAAACTTATTAGAATAATCGAAAAATCAATAAAATAAAATAAAACCGATCATTCGCGCTCCATGGACAACACCCGAAATTTTTAATTTCAGTCATTTTTCTTGCATTTTTCTCTGTTCAAAAGCTTTTTTGACTAATTTCTAGTGTTTCAAAATCTAGCTTGAACCATAAAATACGGTAAAATATCTCCAAAAAACCTTTTAAGGTCATTTTATCCATGGAGCGCACATGATGTCTACTGAAACGGCAGTTTTTCTGCGCTTTTCACTGATTAAAAAATGCTTCTTTGTTCGCTTTAGGGCCTTATTCCTCTAACCCCTACAGGGACCACTCAAATGTCTTTAGGATGCTCTCACAAAGGAGAAAATTTGCATTTGCACCAAGTAAAAAATCTTCAAATGAAAATTCCTAAAAAGGTCTTGGCAAGAAGAAAATTTGTTCCAAATAAAAAACGAGAAAGATACGAACGGCGGCCCTCCCAGGCGCGAAATGCAAATGAGACGCAAACACGTCATAGCTTCTATACCGTTTCGGGGCAACCGAACGATTTTTGTTTGAGTTTTGCGGCGAAATGCGACATTTTGGATCTGAGAAGGGAGGTTTTCACTTTGGGATTCCTGAAAATTGGACAGAGCACTCCTAGATGTACCAGGTGAAGGTCAAGAAAGTCTCAAGCTGCCGAACTTTTAGGTTTTTGAGAAAAGACAGCTCAAAGTCAAGAAAAACCTTTAAAATTGGCTAAAATTAGCGATTCTTGGGCTTTGAGCCCTTATTTCTTGAAAACTTAAACATTTTTCCGGTTGAGACTTTTAGAACATCCTTTTGGTACATCAAGATTACAAGAAATTCCAAACAGCAAAATAAAATAACCTTCCGCAAGAGAAAGAATAAAGAAAACTGACATGGAGGTAAATCAAGAAAAAAACCTTCCATGGCTGATTTTTCTTCACAACTCTTGTACATCAACAACAAAATAAAAATAAATCCTTGCTGAAGATTTTAAAGGCGCATAGAGAAATTCCAAAAGGGTCTCGAGAAGAAGAATCATTTTAAGTGATATATTAGTGATATTTTATATCCATACTTCTGCCCCTCTCACCATATCAGCAAGGACTTTTGAACTTGGGAAACTTTAAAAAATAAAAAAAAAGGAAAAAAAAACGTGATCATGTTGAAATAGAGGACGAAAATCGCATCTTTTGAAAATAATTCAGTGGGAGTCTGAAAAAAAAGTTCTACCGAAAAATAAAGTATGTGAAAAATAAATCAGATACCCAAAAAGGACCGCCTCACACTGTCAATGAAAGGATTGCATTAAGAAAGCATTGAGAAAAAAATCGTTCTGAGATTTAAAAAAAATCCAAAATCTCGCTGTAACCGGAACAAGATTTGATCTTCTGAGAAAAATCGGTATCAAAAAATTCTCATAAAAGGCTTAATTAATGATTAATTGAGCAAGTGTTTTTTAACGGAACCATGAGAAAATGAAGGGCTTCAAAAAATGCCCAAGACAAGCCCAAAAAAGGCTCCTGATACATTTCAGGAGAACCAGAAGTGAAGGAGAAACTCTATAAAATTTGAAAAAAGCCCAGAAATGTTCTAAAAAACGAGACTGGAAAACTTTCTGATCAAAAAAAAATCACTCTATTGGTTGATGAACTGAACTTTTCTAGAAAAAATCAGTATCAAACCCGAAAAAAAAACTTGAAAAGACCTTACTAGGTATTCACAGAATGATCATCTACCTATATGAAAAAAAAAATCACTATGAATTAGACCAAAACTGGCTCAAAAAGGAAGCTCTCTGACCAAAAATTGAACTTTAATCGTTCAAAGCTAAGTTTTTGTGGAAAAAATTGATGCATGTTCAAAAAAAAGCCCAAAAAAACCTAATCAAAAAATTATTCTCCACCAAAATTGAGAAAAAAACATTCGCTACCGAAAATTTCAGAAGAAGGAGAAACGCTGTGAAAATTCGAAAACGTCCAGGAATGTCCTGAGAAACGACACTAGAAAGATTTCTGATCAAAAAATGGTCATTTAAAATTTTTAAAAAGAGAAAATCACTATGAAATACAACAAAAACTGCCTTAAAATAAAGCTTTCTGGCAAAAAAAGAGGATTTTTATTCGTTCAAAAACTAAACTTTTTTTGTGAAAAAATCGGTGTAAATTCAAAAATAAAACCCCAAAAAAGACCTAATCACAGAATGATCATCTACTAAATATAAGAAAACGAGAATCGCTTCGAAAAAACTTCAAAAAGGCCCAAAAAGGGAAGAAGCTGAACGGCCATCTTGATGTAGCATTTTCGGGAGAGCGAGGGTGTTAGAGAGGACGCCACACAAAACGGCCCCATATATGGAAATGAGCGGGCGTTGAACGGATGAAAGAAGACGTCGGCGGCAATCAGATGGCCAAGAGGGACAGGAAGAAGGAAAAGTCTTCTGAACGACGACGACGACGACGTCGGCCTCTTTTTACGGCTAATTGCTGGAATATTCAATGGGAGTCCCCCATCAAATTGTTGCACAACACGCGCGTTAACTGCTCTAGTCATTCTTTCACGACAAATCTGACTTATCCTAGCTTTCAGCAAAAAAATTTGCAGAAAATCTGAGGTGCACGAATTTTCAATGAAAATTTTGACACAACCAACTAAATTTAAAGGCATAGGGGCAGTAAAAAATGGGGTTTCAGGTGAAAACAGTATCTTACATAGTTTTTCTTTGCGAATCGAATGGTGTACTCGAAAAAATTACAGATGTGACAACTTTAGAAGAAAAACGCGATTTTACTTTCCCGCCTTTAATTTTGAAAAAAGCTTTGGATCGGTATGCAGACAAATGTTTACAGTAGCCGTGCACGCGATGTTGCGGACGTCTCATTAGACTCGCATTTTGTGAGAAATAACCGGATATCTACTTCAAATTAAGGGTTTCTTCTCTGAAAAATCGATTAAGAAAACAGAAAATACACATTGATAATAAAGAAAACACAAATAATCGCTATCCCAATCGAAACCTGTGTAAAATCATCAATGTTCACCAGAAAAGCATTTTTGCAATCAAAGTTTGCAAATTATACATGAATAGAAAGCTTTTGTGACGAAAAGAACTTTGGTGACAACAGAAAAAATTGAAAACTGAAAGAAACGAAGAAAAAAGCGAAAATCCGAAAAATGGCGAAGCAAGTCGTCCATAGAGCAACTTTACTGCAAAGTGCCCTTTTTGCGGGAACTCAAACTTTCCTCTTTCCGACTTTGAATTATTTTTTCTCCAAAACTAGGAACTTCTGTACGTTTCCAAGGAAACAGCCCAAATAGGGGCCGAAAAGCGGTCCCTATAGGGGTAAAATCGAAGTGGTCCCTATAGGGATTTATAATCTGACCCCTTAGCCCCTAAAGCTCAAGTGGTCCCTATAGGGGTCTCTAAAATTCGTTCAAAACGCTTATTTAGTCAGTTATTCCCATGGAAATTCTTCTTTGCGAAGATTTCATAACAATTATCGACTAGTATGTCCCCTCTAGGGGCCACTAACTGAAACCCCTATAGGGACCACTATTGCAAGCTTCAGTTGCCCCTTCAGGGATCTGATACTTGCTAAAGTTCTCTAGCAAAAAAATCAAAAAAAAAAAATTGAACGGAAAATTTTTTGCGAAACATTCCGAAAGAATCTAGAATTCTATTTGGACCGCTCTATGGGACTTTTTGTGTTCATAAT